ACTTATAGTAGAAATAAAGCTAACTGTATAAAGGACGGTGTGCTTGCTTTGCATTTGGTGGTTAATCCATGCATTTAGATGTTGCAACTGCTGAGCAGTCAATCTTCCCTCTTTTACTTGTGTATTTTGTTTATGCTTTCCTGTATAGTACTGGATTTATTGGTGTTATTCCCAGCTGCCTCGGGCACCATTTTGTGGTAATTTAAGTAATAAAGGATAAATAATAAATAAGGGAATGACAGCCTAGGAAGGAAGGAACCTTTGTCTTATATAAAAGAAGATACATGGACATGTTAGTGCTCCCATCAAAATGATGGAGAGACGTTTCACTGAAAGCAACTACAACAAGAATGTTCATGCCTTCCATCATCTGTAGCAAGAAAAGAAACTCAGAAACATGACTAGAATAGAATAGAATACAATGGAATAGAATAGAATGTATAGTAGAATAGAATAGAATNCCTACTAGGCCCAAAACGGGGTAAATTGTAAATTTAATGAATTTATATGCTGCCCAATCCCGAAGGACTCCGGGCGACTTACAGAATATAACTCTAAAAAAGATAAAAATTAAAAATAGGGAAAGAGAAAACAGATTAAAAGGCAACATCATCATACATTCAATCAAGGTGGGGCTGGACCTCATTCATGAGGTCAACAGCCCCAGGCCTGCTGGAACAGCCAGGTTTTAGTGGCCTTTCGGAAGGCCGAGAGAGTGGGAAGGGTCCGGATCTCTGGGGGTAGATCGTTCCACAGGGCCAGAGCAGCTACAGAGAAGGCCCTCCCCTGAGGAGTCGCCAGCCAGCATTGTACGGTCGACGGCACCCGGAGAAGGCCCATCCTGTGAGATCTTATTGGCCATTGGGAGGTATGTGGCAAGAGGCGGTCTCGCAGATATCCAGGTCCTAGGCCATGTAGGGCTTTCAAGGTGATAACCAGCACCATGAAGCGCGTTCGGAGACCGATAGGGAGCCAGTGCAGCTCGCGGAGGATAGGTGTGACATGGGTGTATCTAGGTACACCCAATATCGCTCGCGCAGCTGCATTCTGGACCAATTGTAGTCTCTGAACACTTTTCAGGGGCAGCCCCATGTAGAGCATGTTACAGTAATCAAGCCTTGAGGTGACGAGGACTTGAGTGACCATTTGAAGTGCCTCCCGGTCCAGGTAGGGCCGCAACTAGTGCACCAGGCGAAATAAGAGCAAGAAATAAAAGATAAGGAGGAAACAGTATTATATGGTATGGAATGAGTGGTACAATGGTTAGAGGATAGGTGTAAAGCTTAAGGGAAGACTAAATGAAGAAGACACAGGAGTTTGAAATTAGCAATGGATAGGCAGAGATAAATAAGCATGTAAAAATGGAAATGATACACAATGAAGGATTGTAATATAAGGAATGTATATATTAGTATCAAAGGTATAGACAGAGATATTGAAATAAGGGGGACGAAATGCATGTACAATGGATGATACCGATGTGGAAATGTTGTACAGAAGGAAATTGTAAAAAAATAATTCTTTTTAAAAAACTGTTTAATAAAAATATTTTAAAAAAAGAAGAAGAATTACATTTGGTCTGGACATTTTCAACAAGGCTTTGATTATTTTGAGGAGAAATGTATGGCCATTATCAATAAGGTGGTATCACCTTCCTTGATGCTTCTGGGGGCACAGGGAAAACATTTGTAATTAATTTAATCGTCGCCAAAATCAGGGCTTTTCCTGTCTAATACAGGATTAGGATAAATAAATACCTGGGCAACACCAGGTTATCATCTAATAGTCATGTATACATTTTAAATTATGTGTTGAGTGTTAATATCAGAGAGATTGTGTTACCATCGTGAAATTCAGGCTTGGGAACAAGGCAATTTTAATGTTCTAACATGAAGTACAGGAATTGGATAAAACAGAGAGAGTAATTGACGGGTGTTAGGATCCCAAAACCAAAAAAACAACAACATGTTGAGGTCCTTCTAAGCATTTTCCTTTATGGTTCTTCATTTATTGGCAGAAATCTTGACAAATTGAAGGAGCTACTTGCACCATTAAACATACTCTGAGAACACCTACAAAGGAGCTGTTTTACTCTCTTTCTCCCACATAAACTATCTAAATTTTGCTGCTCTGGAGTGCAATCCCTCCCTCCTGGGAATTCAGGCCATGTTCCACCACACCAAGGCTCTGCATCTCTTCAAAGCAGGGGTGGGCAATTAATTTTCCCATGAGGCCACATGAAAAACTGGGACTCTGTGAAGGGCCGAACTGATCAGGCTGTGAAGGTGTGTAGACATGCGTGCCCCTATGTACCAGAGATGAAATCCAGCAGGTTCTGCCAAGTTCTGAAGAACTAGTAGCGGAAATTTTGAGTAGTTTGGAGAACTGGCAAATGCCACTTCTGGCTGGCCCCAGAGTGGGGTGGGAATGGATATTTTGCAGTATCCTTCCTCTGGAATGGGGAGGGAATGGAGATTTTGCAATATCCTTCCCCTGTCACACCCACGAAGCCACAGCCACAGAACCGGTAGTAAAAAAAAAATGAATTTCACCACTGCTACGTATATGACATTTGTTTCGAAGGCAATTGCTTTCAAAATAAAAGCAATCCACACAGGCTGGGTAGGGAGAGCCAGAGGGCTGGAGGTGGCCTGAGCGCTATCAAATGACCAGGTCTGCTTTAAAAGGATGCTTCACTTCCAAATTCAACTTCCCCAGAATGGCACTGTTTCGAAGCGGTTTTGTGAAAGGATGTGGTTTCCTGCACTGAAAGGAAGGAAAGGACTTTGTGCAAAAGATGTTTCTGCCCAACAGAAGAAGTAGAACAGGTGCTTTGCATGGAGAGCATCACCTCTCTACTAGATGGTGTCCAGCTCTGGCATGATGTGAAGAGGCAAACGGCATGTTCTTTCCACCACAGTAATAATTTTGGGACACAACCTGGTATTCACACTGAAATACGCCTATTTTTTTTCATTTATTGGTAGCCCAACTCAAGTGGGTTCCTGTAGACATAGTTGCATCCACAGCCAATTTATTTGTTTATTTATTATTTATTATTTATTGGCCAAGTGTGATTAGACACACAAGGAATTTGTCTTTGGTGCATAAGCTCTCAGTGTACATTAAAAAAATACATTCATTAAGAACAAGAACTTTGCTAATCAGAACTTCTTAGGTGTGGAATAGGTTGTAGGGCTTGGTCTGCTGGCTAGAGACAATGGGTATTCTCCAGAAACGTGGGCCAACACCCAGAATTCTTAGCAGTGGCATGGTTAACTGGGAAATTCCAGACAGTTGGAGGGTACCCCAACTTTCTAAGGCACTTTAGAAGAGACATGGCATTCTGTGTAGTGGATAGGAGTGGATAGATCTTTGTCCAAAGGTTCTGTAGCTTCAATAAAACATCAGAATAAGGCTCCAAAATTTGGCGGGGGGGGGGGAGTTAGTAACTTTGCGGAAATTTTGGCCAAGTGGCTCCTCATTTTACCCACCTTGAAGGATGGAAGGCTGAGTCAACCTGGAGCCTGGTGAGATTTGAACTGCTGGCAATGGGCAGAGTTAGCTTGCAATACTGCATTCTAACCACTGGGAAGGAAGGAAGGAAGGAAGGCAGCAATAGCACTTAGGCTTATATACCGCTTAATAGTTCTTTATAGCCCTCTCTAAATGGTTTACAGAGTCAGCCTCTTGCTCCCAACAATCTGGGTCCTCATTTTACTGATCTCGGAAGGATGGAAGGCTTAGTTAACCTTGAGCCGGTCAGGATCGAACTCCTGGCAGTGAGTTGAATTAGCCTGCAATACTGCATTCTAACCACTGTGGCACCACGGCTCCACCGAAGGAGGATTTTCCCCCCAGAGAATGGGCAATCCTTTACAACTGCTCGTTGTCCAAATTGCCCCTTGCAGGACACAGAACCGTCTCATTTCCTGAAAAGCAAGCGAACGCAACTAAAAAGAGAAATGACATTCGAATGCATTTGGTTGAAAAAGAAATGAAGAGAGATGGGGAAAATTGTCCCATGCCAAAAGGGGTGCCTGCAGATCTCTTCAGCTCATAAACACCGTATGGAGGAATTTAGTATGAAAAGATCCATTGGGCCGAGGTAGATTCAGACTAGTGTGAAAGCTGCATTTTCATTGCAAGCGCCAGACATAAAATCCTTCACAAGATCAAAAAAGCGAAATTCTTGTCCGCAGAGGGTTTTTTTTTCTCTAAGCCCCAAAGAGAAGGCAGGATAGGGAAGTGGGTTTGGACCCATACAGCAGTCCTTGACTTACAACCATTTGTTTAGTGACCAGTTAAAATTACAAAGGCATTGAAAAGATAACTTATAATTAATATTTGCATTTAGATAATTTTTGCAGCATCCCTATGGTCACGAGACCAAAACTTGTGTGCTTGGCAACCAGCATGGATATAATAAGATGGTTGCAGTGTCCCAAGGTTGTGTGATGGGAGATTTCATGGGAGCCTTCACTTGCGACCTTCCCATCCAGTTTTGTTGTGGCCTGCCAGCGGCCAGCGAGCAAGCAGCAGTTTCGGACAGTGAGGAGGTTGGGGAGGAACATGGGCCAGTCCTGGAGTCTGGGGAAGGCTCTGATGAGGGCACTGTGTCGGAGGCAGAGAGGGGGACAGAGCCATATGCCAGTTATCAGCTACCTTCAGAGTCAGACATGAGCGAGGCAGAAGAACAGCTGGAGCCTGTTCCCAGTGTGCGCATGCGCAGAGTTGCCAGACGAAAGGAACAGCTGAAGAACAGGGGTTGACTTGGGAGTAAGGCCATAGGTGGATGATGAAGGGCCCCTCCCAGAGGAAATAAAAGAGGAGCGAAAGGGGAGTGGAGTTTGCAGGAGACAATTAGTTCGCTTAATCGGTTCGTGTCTCCGAGACTCCTTGCCAAGTTTTGCAGATATCGGCCTGGCAGCTCTCCAAGCCAGATAAGGTCTGTGACTGTAAATCCTCCCTTGAAAGACTTTGCTGGATGTGAATGAGCAGAAATCACAGTAAATTAATAAAAAGGGTTTTTGTTGGGACAAGGAGTTTGCTTCATGCTCTTGGGAAACCTAGGTCAAAACAAGTTTCCAACAAACTAATTTAATGGCAGAAGCTGGATTCTCTTAATGACTGCGTGATTCAGTTAATTGCAGTGATTCGCTTAACAACCACGGAAAAATTTTGTAAAACCAGGCACGATTCACTCAGCAACTGTCTTACTTAAGCAATGGATTTTCTGGTCCCAAGTGCGGTTGTAAGTTGGGGGACTACCCATGCTCGATAACCAAATTCACTGCAAAGATGGAGGAATCAGAATTGGCTCCATCAGTTTCCTTGGGGATGGTAGAGAAATGGGGGAAGGGACAAAGTCATAATGGGTATTTATCAGCATCTTGTTAGGCGATCCCAAACATCTGCGGTGGGATGGAAATGATATCTATCACTCTCATGCAAAGAATTTAACATTTGCAGCACATTCGTCCAGCAGGCTGCCCATTTTTGCCCTGACCCCTAAACCTTACCGGGTACTACAAGACACAAAAGAAAGGAACAAAGGCCCCCGTTGCTAAATCACAGTTGAATTACGAAAATGCTAGGCCGCCGGTTGCCATGGTAACCGTTCAAGGGTTATGATTACTGTGGCTCCCAAGGATGCTCCCATTGGGGAATTTCTCATTTGCCTACGGGGCAGGACACACCGGTGCCTTGCAGGCCGCAAAAGCCATCTGGGTTTTTGTGCAGATATTGCTGGTGGTAATCTTCGGCGTAGTAGAATTCGTCGCCCGCCCGGATCTCTGTCGTGATGGGTCCCCGTTGCTTCTTAGCCAACTCCTGCCAAAGAGGAGACAAAAATGCGTTTCAAGGAAAGAACAGTTTGAAATCTTGTCTCCCTGCAGGGTCCTGAAAGGAACGGTCGACTATGCTTAAGTTTTGTTATTTCTAGGTTGCAAATACAAGAAAATATTTGTCGCTCAGGATTGAAAGGAAGGATCCTTAGTCCTCGCTGAACTTGAGTGTTTTCTTGCAGACGTTTCATTACCGAAGTAGGTAACATCATCAGTGCTACCACGGGTGATGTGACCTATTTTGGATGATGAAACATCTGCAAGAAAACAACCAAGCTCAGAGAGCCACTAAGGACCCTTGTACCTTATCTTCACTCACCATCCCCACTCTTTGCCAAATGGGACTCCTAGATAAGAGCCTCCGTATGCTAGACACCAAGATCATTTCATTTACGTTTTATTTGAAATATTTCTATTTAAAAGGATTCTTTTATTGATCTCACAAGTGAGAGAACCTGGTAAAAATGGCTTATGTTTAGTTTTAAGAATTAGCACAACAAAGAACTTCCAAGTTTTATTATTTTATTCATAAATATTTTGAATACAGTGCATTGTCAGGGTATATCATTTACAGAAGCAATCTCTCTCTCTCTCTCTCTCTCTCTCTCTCTCTCTCTCTCTCTCTCTCTCTCTCTCT